CTCTTCCTTTGCTTGGTCATATAAATATACTGTTCTTGATTGTCTTTTTTTTTTGATTTCAGCTTTGCTATTTCTTGCCATCATGTGTTTAATCCATATTTCTGTTTTTACTATTTTATAATTAATTTTAGTAATTCCCTCTGCATCTTCAATTTCTGCCTTTTGTAGACCTGAGACCAGTTTTTCTGATATCCATATGTAGTCAATTCTTGTTGCTACTTCTTCATTTGACTATGTAAATTCTTGACTTGTTGGATACATGTCTCTGTAACTGTCACTAAAGTTCTACTTTTTCATCTAATTAAAGATTAGCAATCTTTTGAAGTTTGTTTCTTGTGAGTATTATCTATCTAATACATTATTTGCTATATGATTGAAATCATCTAAAATAACTATTTGTGTTTGTCTTCTCTTCTTGGTGCCTATTTCTATGATTTTTTGTTGAATGTTTTTCCCTATTGCCTTGTCACTTGGTGGTATATAAACTCCTAAAACTACTAACTTCAATTGCTTGAAATATAATATAAGTTCTATTATATATTCGTTTATCCTTTTGATTGCATCTACATGTTTTTCCTATTGTTCATTAATTATAATTCCTATACCCGATCTCTTTTTTTGTCTTTTGCTGCACTTGACCAAAATCCTACATATTTCCTATTTGTTGTTTACATTAGGAATCTTCTCTCTCTTTCTGTTAGGTTTGTTTTTGTGATATCTAGTATTGTAACTTCTTCTTCTTCTACTCAGCCCAGCAGACTATCGAGTTTTCATCCTTTAGTTTTGAGTCCATTAACATTATGACATGCTATTTAATCTCCTTTCTTTCTTTTTTTCATTTTTCTTTTAGTTGTTCTTGTCTTGTCTTTGCTGTTTCTTCTCTTTCTTTTCCCTTTTTGTTCTTACTTCTTTCTTCTTTTGAATAAGGATGTGTTTTCTCTTTTTTGTTTTCAAAGCTTTTTCTTTCATTTTGTAAGAACTCTCCTATCTCCTCATCCATATTCATTAGTTCAACTAAGGTGCCTTTAGGAACAGTTGGCTATGCCTTCCCCTATCAAGTCATCTACTTTCTCTAGTTTTTCTAGTTTTTCTAAAATTTGGCCTAGCATATCTTCTATATATGTGTTCTTTTCTTACTGTTGTATCTTATCTTTATTTTCTCTCTTCTCTTGACTTTCTTCTTTTTCATTATCTATACTTTTATATTTACTTTGGTTTTTAATATTCTGTCTTAGGCTGCTATTTTCTTCTTCTATTATTTGAACTTTTGGTTTTAGGTCTTCCCAATCTTTTTTTCTGTTTGTATATATTCTGTTTCAATAATTTCTTTCTTTACTTTTGTTTTCTTCTGCATCATAGTTCGACTTAATCTATTCCAACTTCCTTCTCTTCTATTTTTGAAACTTTCTCTACCTCTTGGCTCTCTTTTCCTTTCATTAACCTAGTATATTCGAAAATTGTTGTACATAATTGGTTTTGATTGTACTGCCTTTATATCTTCCTTTGTTATAAAAATAATCAGTGCTGTTTGCTTCTGGTTCCTGTTTTGGTTTGGTAGAATGTATACTGACTTCACTTTTTTACTTCTCAAGCATCACAATAATAAGACTTCTGAAGCATTTCCAGATAGCTCTGTTAGTTTGGCTGTATGTTTTCTTTGTCTTTCCCTTGCTTTATGGTCTTTTTTTCCTCTTGTTACTCTTACCAGCTTATTATTGTCAGCTGGAAGTGATTATGAAATAACTTCTTCCTCTATGCTTTGCATTTGTATTACTGCTAAGGCCTTATACTTAAATCTTTTGATGGATATAATCTGCATATCTTTAATTTTTCTACAAATATATTCTACTTTTCTTTTGTTTATGTTAGCTGGTAGGTCCCATATTATTAAATAAATTATATTACTACTGAGTCTTTTTTCTTCCTTATATTCGTCATTACATGGTTCTTTTTTGTTAATGCCTTCTTTAACCTTTTTTTTTCTAAAACTTGATGTATGTTTTTCTTTATCTTGTCATTCTTTCTTGTAGTCTCTGAGTTCTTCTTTTTCACTTTCTTTCTTTTCTTTATCTTCTGGTATCATCTTGTACCAATCTCTCTTTTTTCTGTTAATTCTTTGTATAGCTTCATCTTTGCTATAATTACAGTCAAAGACCATTTCTATCCATAGATTTCTTCTTTTAAATACTTTGTTGATGTCTTTTATATATATATTATCCTTTAGAGACCACCTAATAAACTTTATACATTCTTCTTTTGTTTTTTCAAGGACCTCATATGCTGGTATGTTGGTGATTAGACTATTGTTTTGATTACAATTTCTTTTACTTGGTGCCTATATACTTTGTTCTAATGTTATTTCTACAATGTCAATTTCTTTCTCTGTTTCTTGCTTCCTTCTTTTCTGTCTTTCTTTTTCCTCTTCTAGTATGTTTTGTCTTAATTGCTTACCATCTATTTCTATATTCTCTTGTTCACTTATATCTCTTTGCTTCTTGGTTTCTTGTTTCTAAATACTGGGTTTATCTGTCAATTTATTATTTCTTTCTATACTTATCTCTTTTCATTTTTCTTTTTGTAATGTTTTTTTTTTTTTTTGTTTCTTTAGATTTCTATTTTCTTCTTTTATATTTCTTTTTATTTCTTACTTTCTTTTAATATTCTCTTTTTCATTTCTTTTTGTTATCACTTGCTGTTTTTTGTTTTAGTTATATTGTATTTGTTCTTTTTCTGCTTCTGTTGTTAGGTCTTGATTTCCTATATTTATATTTAGTTTTTTCTCTAACTGTTCTTTCTCAGCTTTCTCTAAAATTTCTCTTGTTAGTCATAACAATGTTATCTCATTTGGGTCTTGATTTGTGAACAATGTAACAATTTTGTTTTCTTTATCTGATACTGTATATGTTTTGCTTACCTCATTGAAAAAAATTTTATTATACACACTATTTATGACCCAGTATGCTCTTTTTATGAAGAATACTTGTAGACTTTCTCTATATTCTACAGAAAGATTTTTGTTCATATTTATGATTTTATTTTTCTAAGATATTCTATCATGTATTTGTTGTATTTGTTTGTTTGTTTCACAAGTGACTTGTTTATCCTATTTTATTCTAAATCTTGCACATGTTTGTTTTGTCCAAGTTGTACATATTGTTTGTGTAGTCCAAACAGATCTATGTATAAGGTCACTAACAATCACCTAAGATTTTCCTTTTTACTAAAATTTTTACAAAAACTTTGGTTTTCTTCTATAGTTATCTTATTAATACTTGTAATGCTTTTTACTTCTAAGCTTATTTGTTGTTTTTTTTGTTGCTATTACTTTTTCTTAATGTTGTTGAGAATGTTATCTATTGCTGTTAATGCAAAAAGTTAATTTCTTTTTTTACCAATTTTACATCCAAGTGATCATCAGGAAGAGTTCTGTATAGTATAAAGATTAGAATGTTTAATTAGGTAATTTCTTAGCAGATTACAGGTATAACAGCTAGTATAGAACCTGTGAGTGAACTACTTAAATAGATAATCAAAAACTGTACATATAACTAGTTGTACATTCACCTTGTACAAGTTATGTAACCATAATTAACTCACAATAAAAACAGTAATTGCTAATAACTAATGATCTTTATGAAAGCAAAAAAAAAAAAAAAAAAACTAATAAAACTGAAACTTAAACTAGTTTAAGCTTCTTAAATGTGTTTTGGTTTAAAATATGACTAACCAGTTTGTCCCAAACCAATTACTATCTCTACTCAGACTCAATTATTTAAAAAATTAAACCATTTTGCATTACTGTTAAGTATAAACTTTCTGCATCATATGTTGCATACTAAGCAAAAAATCAAATCATAAATTATTAACATTGTTTAACTTTTGAAAATATATATTTCAAATATATATTTGCTTTGTATGTATTTTAATTTGTTAAAAATTTTGACTAAACCAATTTTTAAAAAATTGGCTAGCTAATCGATTACAAACACTAGTGCTTGTAGTCGATTATACCGGCTTAGTTAGGTTTAATCGGTTTTAAAAAATTACGGCAACCAATCAAATTTAGGCAGATTTTGTAATTCCGAAAAGAAATTCAACGAACATAAAAAATACGCGGAAAAATTCAAAAATGATTGATCGACTTCGACTTTAGCCGGCTAAACCGATTTTTAAATATCGACTAGTCAAGTCGATAAATAATGATCGACTACAAGCACTAGTTATAACTAAAATAGGACAGCTAAAAATAGATTGTTCTGAATCAGGAATGACGCTTTTGCACTAGAAGTGTTCAACTTTCACAGACCGGCACTAGGTGAGCTGTAATTAACGGTTTGTTTTTTCCAATGTCTGATTCTTACGATACTCTTTCAAAAAAGTCGATAACTCGAACTTTATCTACTCCAGAATCCTCAAACATTTCTTTGCCAAGAGACATACCTGTAAAAAGACCCCACAGTACGATTAGCAATAAAAGCTCTACTGATCTATTCTGGAATATTGTTGGTCGTGATAATTACACAACTTCTCTGAATCAATCACCCGTCCTTTGTAATAGCTATTCTCCACCTGTAGGAGATTTATTTTGTACGTCTACGTCTTTCACAAGGAAATTCCGTACCTTCCCTTGGCGAAATAAGCCGTCTTTGAGGGTACTTCCTATTATGGTTGCTAGTAACGATGCTAATTCGATTAGCTTGCTGACAACCACAATAAAATCTAGCGTTTCTTCAGCTCAATCTAGTATCGCTAGTACAATTATAGGGGATTGGGATAATCACAAGATGAATTCACAAGCTGTTCCTTTGACACCACCGCAGGAGTCAACACAGTTGCAAACTTCCGGTGATTTATTGATACCAATTGAACTTTGCGGCAGAAGTGACGATACTGATCCGGTTTTGAATGAATCTATAGCTGAACAGGTATTTGTTCAATCACCGAAATTATAGTGACAACATGATATCGTGTCACATTTAAGAACACACCAGCGTGAACCATATTATTTATCTTACTATATAATTCAAATGAATCTATATATATATATTTTTTTTAACACGTTTATTACCTGTATGGACTGTTCGTTAGATCCGACTTAAGCTTCCACGACGATTACGATTATTGCCATCATGGAATCTACTATATAGCCTCGACCAAGATGGAACAAGCATGGCTACTATGTATCATAAAGTTAAGGGCAAAGGTCCTTTAGTATTAGTGATCAAGGACACGGACGAACAGGTCGACTTACTTAATTTTCTTATCACAATTATGCAAGACAACTCTTAAGTTGATATAAGATCTTTTTGGTTAGGTTTTTGGTGCATTTGTGACAGAACCATTTAAAATTCATCCTTCTTATTATGGGACTGGAGAATGGTAAGAAATCATAAATCGAGTGATGAAAACTGGACTTCGGGTCAAGTTTATTATTTATTATTTACGAGATCCAGCGATACGTATTAAATTTACTTATGTATCATATATGTCTCAGCAAATAATAAACTTGAAAATCCGAGGTTTTGCGTCACCCAATTAATGTATTTGATAATTTTAGCACTCAAAAATTGACACTTTTTTGCTATTTGCATGTTAGTTTTTTGTGGAAGCACGTAGGTGGTTCTTCACAATTAACAGTAAAATGTTATTTATGGACAGGAAGGAATGAATACATGATATTAAGCGAACGTGATTGCTTAGCAATCGGTGGAGGGTATGTTATTCGTAGACTTTAAGTTTTTTTTCATATAAGATGGCTTGACTAAATTGTTCAACTCGTAAATAAAGTGATGGTAAATTAGGACTTTGGATCGACTCTGACCTGCAACGAGGCCATTCTGAACGTTGTGACACCTTTGACAACGACGTCCTATCATCGTCTCCCGAGTTCGATTGTATAGGATTTGAAGTATGGGGGTTTAAAAATTAAACAATAGTTTTACAAAAAAATATTTACATTTGTTCTTGTGAAGAATTTGAATACAATAATACCCCGGCAATGTGAGCTAATCGCTTTCCTTCGCAATAGCTCCACCTGTTGGAGACCTTTTGGCATCCTACCACTTCGCTCGCAAGAAATTCTAATACTAAAGAACAAAACTAGTAGCGGGAGATGTGTTGGATGAAATACTTTGAATATAATTTGTATTAAATGACTCAGCTAATCTCGTTGACTAATGCTGCAACGCTTAAATGATATCAGTAGACTGGTTTAGTTCAATCTACAATTTTAAGTATTTATCCAGCTATATTTTTTGTTTCAATTGAGGTGAGGGTTTTGTTCTTTCGATAAATTGGGCATAAAATTATTATTATAAAGGAGATAATTTTATTAATAAACATATAAATATATGAAAATGTTTTATTTTATACTGTATAGTATATAATACACCGATGTAATTTGTAAATTTATATAAATGTAAATTTTAAGACAAAATTAAATTAAGTTTAAGTTAAAGGAGTTAAATAGGGCATCGCATAGGTGCGATGCTCTTATATATCGCCTCTTAATATGATTGGTCGATTTTTATCAATTAAAATTTTTTGTTTTGAGCAATCACGCTAGTGCTTTATTAAGATTTTTGAAACTACTACTGTAATTACATAAATTTACCTAACAACTAAGCCTAGCATTACTCGGCTACCCTAATGGCGCCTAAGTGCAACCTGCCGTATTACTTCTAGCAGAAGTAAGCTGCTTGTCTAACTACTTAAAGTTCGTAATGAAAGGGTCTTCCTCCTTTCATGACAAGCTTGTTGATTGTCTTCCTAACTTCTTTCTTTATTTACTCTTCTTTTTCTTTTGTTTTCTTTTTCTTTCTTCTATTACTTGCTGACTAGCCTTTCTTTTTTCTTTTTTACTTGATTTTCTTTTTTTCTTTAGTTTTCTTTTTTTCTCTTTACTCATTATTCCTCTTTCTTTTTTCTATGTATTGATCTTTTTGTAGCAGATTCTTCAGACTTGTTTGTAGAATGTGTTTCATGTTGTTTTTGCTACTATGTTTGTAATTAAAATTTGAGATAATTTGTCTTGAATTGTTTTTGGAATTAGGTTTTTGATCAGTGTTTTTCTTATTTCTATCTCATTTCATTTTGTTTATTCAAAAAGTATCATATATAATATATAAAATGAGATTTGTATTTTTTTTTCTTTTTTTAAATTTTTCTATGTTATTGTAATAAAAATTTTCTATATTCTTTTTTATAGATTTGTTTGTCTTTTATATAATATCAAATGTTTTTGTGTTTCTTTCATTCTGTTTTGACAGACTTGGCATTCTGTTGTTATTTATATATTTGATTTTCTTCTATTAAGTTCTTTTAATATTGGAAGTTTATTCAATATATATTTTATAAAAACATTTCTTCTTGTATTACTTTTTCTTATCAAATAGTATATTCTTTTAGATGACTTCAGTCTTTTTCAAAAGTATGTCCAATCATAAATTATTATTTCTATTTCTGGTTCTATATTCTTAATCATTATTGTTTTCTTTCACTCTGTTCCTAGTCTGATATTAATTATTATTTTATATAGAAGTTTTGTTGATATGTTTATTTACTTGTTTTTTCATTCTAAACAATACTTTATCTCTTCATGACTGACTTCTTCTAAAAAAATTATTTTTTTACTTAATGTTCCCTTCTTCATAAGACTATTAGTTTTATCATTTCATTTATTTCTACTATGACTTTTCATTTTAATCCATTTTATCTGTATGTTTTTTGTTCTAATTATATCTAATTATATCTATTATTTTTAATATTTATAATATATTTTTTTAAAAAAAAATTTATTTCTATCTATATATGCTAAATCTTTATCAATATTCTTAATTGGTGCATTGTTATTTGTAAATATTTCTAATTTTTTCTCTTTTGGTATTGTTAAGATTGCTATCTATATTACTAGCATATTAGCTATCATAGATATAGATCATTCTTTTATTCCTAATATTATCTTCTCTTCTGATTAATTTTGTGCTTCAATTGTATTTAATCTATATCTATATTCTTATTTATTATTTCTTTTTTATTTTTTTTATTTGCTGTACTGTCTATATATATTGTATATTTATTTTTGTCTCTTGATATATTTCTTTTCAAGATCTTTATTAATTCTTAACTAACATTCTTCTTTACTTTTTGTTTTCTAATTAATTCTATTTTTAGATCTCCTAATATTTTTAGTCTTATTAGCCTTTGTTTATTTTTTCTTAGTTTTTCTATTCTTATATATTCTATTAATTAATAGATAACTGTCTTAATTATATTAATGTTTCTTCCTATTAGCATATCTGAAACTGTGTTATTTTGTTGTTGATTCTTATCCAATATTGACAGCTATTTTCTTCTATTTCATCTTCTCTCAAATACCTATTGTATTTATCAATTATTGTTATTAAGTCACTTTTTATGTTATGTATTTGCCAATGTTCTACTAGTAGTTTCTTTTTATTCTTTTTAACTATTCTTTTTTTCTTCTATTGTTTGACAGAATTCTCTACTTAATCTTTATTGCCTGTGTGTTATATTTGTCTATTTTGAACTGTTCTTTAACTTCTCTGTTTTCAATTTTGTTGAGCATTTTTGTCTTTATTATTTTGAATCATTCTGTCTTTTTGGTTTTGCTTAATTGATTTTGGTAGGTCTTGAATAGTTGTTATATTATTAGTCTTTTTCTTTTTGTATTAAATAGCTAATTTAGATATATTAGTTCTGTTTTACTTATTTTGGATCTGCTTCTTTTCCATAGTTATAGTTCTACTAGTTCAATTATTTTAAAACTATAACTATTTGTTATTTATAATTCATTTTCTATATTTATATTTATTTCTAACTCTTTTGCTTTAGCTATTGTCAAACAGGCTAGATTGTTCTTCCAATATGATTTGTTTTTTGGCAATTTTTCTATTTTCTATATATTTTTTATTAAACTTGCTCTTTGACAATTCTGCATTATTATCAATTTTGTTAACTATTCTAGTTCATCTTTTCTGTTTAGTCTTGCTATCAAGCCTCTTATTTGTTTTATTATTAGTTTTTATTACAAAGTTTTGCAACTACCAAGATTTTTGTATTCTATTATACAGTTTTTTAGTATTCTTATTAAGTCAATTTTTTGTTTTGTTAGATATATCATTGATTGGTATATTTCATTTATCTCTTTTTCTGATATCTTTATTAATTGCAATATGTAGCTTAATTTTGATATTATTACTATATTCTTTATATATGCTATTTGACTCATTATCATTTTTTTATATTTAAGGTCTTTTATTGTCTGGTTTATTATCTTTTTTGCTTTTTTTTTTACTAAAACTTCTCATATTTTGTTGTTTAGTCAGATTTTTAATAAGCATATTATCTTGTTTCTTGGCTCTTCTGTTATCTTATTTTCTTCAAAATTTATTTCTTTTTTTTTCTTTTTTAACTTTTCTGTTCATTATTATCAGTTTTGATTTAGATTTATTTATTTTAATGTTATTCATTTTGAAGAAGTTTTCTACTATCTTTAAGATCTTTAGCAGTTTTTTGCTTTTTGCAATCCATATTGTATTATCTGCATTTGTGATTGCTGCTTGGCTATAGCTTGTAATGTTGTTACAATATATTTTCTTTTTAAACTCTTGTTCTACTGTATAGTCTAACCTTTTATCTTTCTGTATCTTTTTTAATAGTAGGTTATAGAAAAGGTACCATATTAGTGATAATATTATTTTACCTTGTTCTATTCCATTACTTGCTGTTATTTCTTCTGTTAGATTATATGCTATGATTATTTTAAGTTGTCTTTTATAAAAAAGGTTTAGAATATATTTAATTGTCATTTTAGGTATTCTTCTTTTTGTAGAACTAGCTCGAGACTTTTGAGTAAAACTAAGTTAAATGTCTTTTTCATATTTTGCAGAAGTATCTATACCTTTTTATTTTTTTCTCTTGTCTCTTCTATTATCATGTTTCAAACATATATTGGTTGTTTCATCAAGTTTCTTAATAGGCCTGCATAGTTTGGTTCTTTAAGTATTTCTTTTTCTATAAATATTTTGCTAAGTCTTTTTGTTATTAACTTTATTACAACTTTTCTAAATATTTCAATTAGAGCTATTAGACAAATATTGTTTAAATTATATCTTCATTTTATGTCTTTTGGTATTGGATATACTTGTACTATTTTCTATTTCATTAATATCTCTCCTATTTCTAAGTATAAGTTTGTATAGGTTCTGAAAACCTCTTAAGTTTTTCTTCCTACTTGTTTGATTAAAGTATAACTTATTTCTAATATTTCTGAGACTGTTCTTGTTTTGAGTTCTCTAATTATCTTATCCTATTTTTCTTCTTCAATTTTATTTTTGATTTCTTTATATCATTCTTTTTTAATATAGTCTCATGATTTATAGATTTCTTTCCAACTTTCTAACATCTCTTCTAGTTTTGTATTTCTTCTTCTAAACTACTTCTTGTAGTATTCTACTGGTTACTTTACTTTTATTTACTTTTGTTATTTTCTGTTTTGTATACTTAACTAGTCTTTGAAGCTTTACAATAATTTTTTCTTGCTGTTGATCTTTTTGACTGTCTTCTGTTTATCATTATATTGTAAATCTTCTTTTTTGGTATATGTTTATTTGTTGCTGTTATAATTGCCTCCTCTATTACATTCTATATTTTGTTAATTTTTTGTATTTTCTCTTTCTCTTCTTATTTTTCACTTTGTATGTTTCTCAAAGTTTTTTTTATCTCTAATTGTTTCTGTAACTCTTGTGTATAATCTTTTCACTCTTTCTTTTTTGTCTTATTATAGAAATATATTGTTTTCAATTGGCTCTTTCTTTTGACTTCTGCTTACTACTTTTTGCAATTATATGTTTTATCCATATTTTTACTATTACTATCTTATGGTCACTTTTAGTGATTTCTTCTATGTCTTTGATTTCTACTCTTTGGAGACCTGAAGCTAGTCCTTCTAATACCTATATATAGTCAATTCTTGTTGCTATTTTTGAGTTTGACTATGTATATCTTTGTTCAGTTGAATGTATTTCTCTATATATATTATAAAAGTCTTGTCTCTTTATTTAACTAAATAATAGTAATCTT